CAAGAGCTTGTGTCCAATCGTCCAGGCACTCAATCATATTTGTTGTTAATCTTGTCTCTGTTTCTGAGCTGCCAAGCACGAAATCAAAACTCCATGCGGCTGACACCTTTGGAGAAGATTTGGGTCAAAATTCAAAATATAGTGTGATGCTTGCGCAGATCAGAATTCTCTCACAAGCATGGAATTGAAGGAGGGAACTCATTATAACTCCCGCATTGTTTTTGTATTTCGTGTTACTTAGACAAGATGTTACTCGTATGTTACTTGCTTAGGTACTACTTTACTTAAAAGAGGCTTAATATGTAGGATGTTGCAGCTGAATGTTGGCCTTTCATTGTGTGAGAGAAGGGATCTGAAGAACCGATCCTTGACTAATAGACATTCTGTATAATTCCGTGTCACCATCAGTCTAAGTCTCCCCTGAAACTACAGACTCTCGATTCTTATAGCAGTAATAATATAGTACTTGGTAGGAGAAAACCTATTCTCCTTTCATTTTGAGAATTCTCACGCTATAACAGTATCCTTCCGCTGCGGCTAGCCTCAATGGAAGCACGGAGAATAGTTTATTCAAAAGAATAAGGCTGTACAGTTTTTACCATCAAGAGATGTAACAAAGAAAACAAGGAAGGCCAACATCGGACGAAACAGTGAAAATATACGAACCTAACGCACAATGCAAAGGGTGTCGATTAGCTGCCCTATAACAGTTTACACTGATATTTTGTAAAATAATAAGTTGATACATAATATTTATAAAACACCATTCAATAGTTTATATAAAGTGGCTCGCTTTATGCGCTTTCTACAACATCCACTATGTCCCGCCGTCGGTGGCGTCCCGCCGAGGCCAATCCGCATCGGTGATTGCTCGGCAGGGCGCCCCCGGCGGCATGAGCTAGGTGACCGGGGTCTTCTGCCCACTCGCCATGGTTGTATTCAACTGCCACACGGACTTGGTAGGCCTGAGGCTGCCCCAGTCTCCCTTGCGAGCTCCCATGCCTTCGCAGTACGCTACGGGGGTTGCTAGCCCAGCGCCGAGCTCCCTCGGAGCTGGGCCCACGGTCCTACCATGGCCTACGTACCACTCCCTGAGCTCAATAGAATGTCTGCGATATAATGGATGTTACCATCACTCTACGTAGCAACAGCACACATTATAAAACACACTATTTATGGTAATCTACGTATGATGAGAAAAGGATGATCAAATACGAATAAATGGAAAAGTTACGGTATGAAAAGTACTATGGAAAAGTCATGAAAATATATACACGAATATAACCCACTCGACCTACGGTCTCGGTACGATCCTGGCTTATCCTCATCTGGGCCCAACCAAGTCATCCCACCTCCTTTCGGTAGTGCTGCTCCAAGGTCTTTTGGTTGCTGCGGACCACTCATCCAGGTGTTTCCAGCTTGCTCCATACTACGCAGCGATGGCACCACTCGAGAATGGCAATAATGTGGTGCTACGAACCATCGGAGGCTGCGTCGGTGATGTTGACCTCGAATTGCATAAGGAGATGTCGAAGGCAGGCCGCTGCGACGTTGACGACGGCGACGAATGATGATGCAAACATCGCATAAGGGCTAGAGTCCACTGCCATGTGGCAAACTCTAGCTAACTGCAGCGTACGGTGCCTTTCCCGGCAGGACTACGGGAGCACCAAGCCAGGCCGTCCTTTAAGTCGTCCGTACGGCACGACACACTTCAAGGTACTCTGAGTAATAGTAATGTGGTGTGAAGAGCTTACAAGTTGCAGAGGGATGAATGAACACTTCCATTACTTGGATATACATAAGTATCTGTTCTCCATTACACTATAATTTACATTTACAAATGAGGAATATGGCCTAAGGCGATTTCTATACAATCTAGTACGAGGTATACTAAGTAGTAATAACAGTAATAGCATGACCTTGACTTACAGTGCTATAGAACAGATGTCGAAAACTGTAACGGAAGGGATGCCACTCGTAACTTCCGCTTGTTGCCGGTCTTTGATGCTGAGCTATGCAAACGTTGGGCGGCAGTCCAAAGTTAAATTAGCCCACTTTGTGATGGTTTTTGATCGAGATCCCTTTTCGCAAAAGGCTAGAAATCAGAATGCTATCGAATGTAACGGTCTTCATACCCATTCAAGGACGGGCGAAGGAAACTATGATGATGAGTTGCTGAG